CTAGCACATTTCTTTTAACAGTCTTATCCATTTGCACGAGTTATTAGGAAAACCTATTAAATAAAAATCCTAAGAATTACACTATCTACACAGTCAAAAAAAAAAAAAAAAAACCCCAATGGTTACCAGATTGATGGACAAACACTCATTACTTATAATATTGTGAATTGAACATTTTCCTATCTCCGCAAAAACAACACTTCTTTTCATATCTTGTTAACTATTCTAACAAATATGGCTGTGGTTACTCTGAGTACAGACAAAACGAAGCATCTAGGAAAGTAATCAGGCATGGCTGGACCTATACAAATAAAAGTTATATGCATTTTACAATGTTTTTTCCGTCAGAAATAAAAAAAAAAAAAAAAAAAAAAAAAAAAAAACTCTCCTGGATTTTGGTCTACAGAAGATAGCAAAATAAACATACAACTGAGTTTCATTGGATACGGTCCATGCACTCGTTTACAGTTTAAATCAAATGTTGTTGTCCAGATAAAATATTGTCCCTCTATTGCCGGTAGAAACTAAACCAGTTCACATCAACAAGAACATGTATATGAAGGAGGCTTCTCAAACCGCTTTCCTAGAGGCGGAATATGGTGTAAAAAGAGGGCTCCTCATGGGGCTACATTATAAGATAATAAAATTATGGTTAATGCATATACTTTTAACATGTCACACTAGCTCCAAACGTTGTCTAGTTTTGCCTCCCCTTTCAAAATCCTGGATCCGCATCATTTAAATTCTCAACATAGTTTATTTTGGCTATTCTACAGGCAGGAATAAAAAAAAAATAAATAGCAAAATCCAGTTGAATTTTTTCAAGGACGTATAAGGGAGCTACCATTTGATTTTTATGGGGAGGAGGGAGGGGGGAGGCTAGGATGAAATTTGAAAAAAACGTAGGACACGCGAGTTTTGAGTAAAAATGAAATTTTATATACGTTCTCCGTGATAGAGGTGTTTTAAAATCGTCGTTTTTCGTGAATAAATTTGTGATCATCCTAATCTATATTAAGAGTTGTCGTATCTAAACTCTATTTACAAAGGACTGGTACTATTTGAAGAAATGAACAGAAGCCAGTTGCTAAAACTAAGTAGCGTGGAGCTGGTTCCTGGCAGTTTGATCAGGTTTCAGAGTATGATTCTAACTCCTATGTTGCAAAAAATGAACATGGATTTATGGGACCTTTTTTTACTCCCAGCTTGTTTCTATTTAATTAATGAAAGAAGTGAGACTAAGTATTGGCGTAGAAAAGGGGCGAAAGATATCAGAGAGACATTCAAACTCGTCGATCGAAAATAAACTGACAACGCAATGGCTAAAAATGAAAAAAGACAAACAGTCAAATAATAGTACACAAGACACAACATAGAAAACTAAAGACAAATTAAGCAACACGAACCCCACCAAAAACTGGGGGTGATCTCAGGTGCTCCGGATGGATCTTTGTTCCACATGTGGCTACCATCGTGTTGCTCATGTTATTCCAAACCCGCTAAATATTCTAATTCTGTAGGTCACATTCGTGGAAAGGTAATGGGATTGTAGTTACGACATTAGGAACATATTCGATATCATCTGTGAAACAGATATTCCGTAACGGTCAACCAACTTGTGATGGCGTCCGTGAAATTTACGAATGGGTGATTTCAACTTCACCATTTGGAATTATTGGTGTAATAGCTTCCTTGTGAGCAGCAATATCTCTATGATCAAGAAATCATGATAAGAAATACAAGCTCTGGAATATCGTATATACTCCGTTTGCAGGCGCTGCTGGAATATTGTTACATAGAAATGGAAAGCTCACAATTGGGAAGCTGAAATCATCTCTTTTGTACTAAAGTTTTGTTTTCAACCGACCCTCATTGTCAATTTCTAGATGTAAGTCTAGACGTATCTGACGTATCTTACGTTGCGGCAACAAAGACAGAAGCCTCGTTAAACTGAATAATAATAAATAGAATAAAAACATTTTTTCTTTATATCCTTTTAAACAATTTTCAAAAAATGCAATAGACAAACTACTGTTGTTGGGATGTACAAGTACCCGGCCACGTCTACTTGTATTTTTGTCCATCTGATGAGTTAAGCCTTTTTCAACTGATTTTTATAGTTCTTTCTTATGTTGTACTGTTATACCACTGTCCCAGGTTAGGGGGAGTGTTGGGATCCCGCTAACATGTTTAACCCCGCCACATTATGTATGTATGTGCCTGTCCCAAGTCAGGAGCTTGTAATTCAGTGGTTTTCGTTTGTTTAAATGTGTTACCTTTTTGTTTTTCGGTCTTTTTTTGTACATAAATGAGGCCGTTAGTTTTCTCGTATGAATTGTTTTACATTGTCTTTTTGGGGCCTTTTATAGCTGACTATGCGGTATGGGCTTTGCTCATTGTTGAAGGCCGTACGGTGACCTATAGTTGTTAATTTGTGTGTCATTTTGGTCTCTTGTGGAGAGTTGTCTCATGTGCAATCATACCACGTCTTCTTTTTTTTATACTTAATACCTTTCGCGAGTTCACGACTATGGAAACATATATACATCCTCTAATTGGAAATCACTATTCTTTTGCGGTAGTTTTTAGTAATATGAATATGTCGGAGGTCAAATAAATCAACACAATAAAAGCTGACAAAATTTTATCTGTCTATATCCTCCCCATAGCAAAATTATTTATTTTGTGTATGAAAAATTTCTAGTAGCCTATATATATGAGGGACTTATTGATGTTTACAAAACACACAAACATTATCAGAAATTCATTTAAACATTAAAGAATAGAGGTTTAAGACCAAGAATATTTTTCGATTCTATAAGTCAGCTGATATGGTCTTTTTAGTGGATCCACAGCTGTATTATTGACTTGCAGTGTAATCAAAGTTTACCAGCTATCCATCTCCTTTAATTCATAAATATTTAAAACTTAGGAAATTTCCTGCCATTATTCAACTTGAAAAGTGGTTAATATTTTGAGAACATTTATGTATTCATTTGAACATATATACGTAGATATGATAAAAATAGTTCTAGTTCGATACGTACGCTACTTATGCCTTGAAATGACGAATAAACTGTACTAACCAGTTGATCTATATGAATTTATAAAAGGAAAGCAGTTGATAATAAAATGCTGATGATTTTGCACCTAATTGAAACGAAATTTTTCGGTAGCGACTGTGTTAGTCAATTTCTAGTTATATTTATTATGTATTTATTTTCTTTTGTCTACACATACTTTTAAACATTGCGAATAAAATGCAAAGTATTGTCTTTCTATCAGTTTTTGGTAAGCCTGCTTGCACCTTGAAGCTTTTGTTATAATAACTATGAAATGCAAGTTATTACTGTGTATTAGCTTGGTCTCCGGGAGTTGTGTTGGTGTTAATTGCTTTATCGGGAAACGCATCAAAGATTTGTTATTAAGGTATATGGATGTGGATAGTATATCACACTTCGATAGTAAATAATAAAATAAAGTATTAAACTGAAATAATGAGACTTGAGCATAGTCAAATTGAAATGATTTGTTGTAAGATAAAAAAAATATCTCCAATTCGCGAGTCTTGTTTTGGTACACAAGTTCAAATATGCCAAATGAACTCGGAGTACACTCCACTTTATCAGATTAAAAGACTGACCACAAAATTGCCGAATGTCATTTTCACCAAATATTTTAACACTTCCATAGGAATGTTCTTTCCCAACTGGCTGCTACTCTGGCTTTCCATCATAGACTCGTATTATATATAGTTATAGTTAACTATAGTATGGTGATATCCACACTTATTTGAAATATAGTAAATGCACTAAAACTTGAAAATGAGTGAACAACGTGCTTAATGATTATCCAATTTGTTGTGAACTGTGATCACGAAAATTTATTTCCCGTGAACTGTGATCAGTAAATTCAAAATATTGTGAGCCATGATGAGAACCCCCCCCCCCCCCCCCCCCCCCCCCCCCCCCCAGACCCCATTATCCCCTCTTTAAAAAGTTGAATAATATAGATCAAGGCGAGGCCATGCTTGAAAACGTATCAGGTTCACAAGTTTGTCTGTATTCAAAGTGAAATGTTGGTGTAAATACGGCAATAATTAAGTTTATTTCAGTTTTCTTTTTATTAAAGAGACTCACTGTCAATAGGGTACTTCTCACGCTGAAAAACCAAAACAGTTTTGTGGTTCATATTCACACCCTTTCTTGGTTATCTCCCATGTATCATGTAGACAGAAATTACAAAAGTAAACAACTTGTTTATAAGATTTTGTATTTAGTGTTTGATTTACTGATCAAACGGATATAAAGCTGCATTTATTTCAATTGATAAGTGTTTATCTTATGACATAGGTGCCATCACTAACACCCAAACTGTCAAGAGTTACTGGGGTATACATGGTATAGAAGTTTAGTCACTTTGGTCTTAGTTCGGACTCCGTGATAACTCGGCCCATACCAAAGTCGGCCTGTAACAAAATATGCCTTTAACAAACTCAAGAAATGATCAATAAAATCTTTGAAAGTACTGAAAGGTTCATCTTGCAGTTAACATTTTTATGTCAATAATTTTGTGCAACAGCTTGCGTGTTGATCAAATTCTAAATATACATTGACTGTCAATAAGGTCACCAACTATTCAATACGCCCTTTACAATGAAAAAGATTATTGATAAACAATCTAATTGTTAAATCTTTATTATATAATAACACAAGTATAGCTTTTAAATCAGTAATTTTTTTTTATTTCATACATGTACATGACATGCATGACATATATATATATAGCTACAGATTTATATGATTCATTCAATCATTGTAATTATTAACATGATTAATACATGTAATATATCTGAACTAACACAAAATTAAATCTGCCCTCAATTGTATTGATTATTGATTATAGATAAAATTGTCATCTTTTTATTGTTTCGTGAACACAAATCAAGGTTATAAGTCTACAAAACTTTTATTTTATTACTGTTAGGGGTCAGTTAAGGATTTTTGCAGCTTACATGTTGGTTAGTAATAGAAAATATTTTATGTACAGATAAATGCTTTTTATAAGTTATTTATTAGATTTGAATTACTTTTTAATTTCTGAAATATTCTATTGTGTAAATGTGTCAGTTTAACAATAAATCATTACTAAGATAGAAATTTATAACATAGGTAAAAAAAAGTAGGAGACTTTTTGGTGACCTTTTAACAAGGCAGAATCGTGAACTGTGACATGGTTTTCTTTTTTTGGTGTATAAATGGGAGGTGCAAATCAATAGGGATTGCATGGAAAACTTCTGCACTATATTTTCATTGATGAAATTCACTTGTATGGTTCTGATATATTTTTTTCTTATAATGATTAATGTTCCAATGTACACATTTGTTCATACATCTGAGTCACAGGAACACAACAAACAGCAAAATTATGATGACCATATTTTGACCTCTAGATATCTCTTGTGAACTTTTGGTTATTTGTGTCCTTGGGTTGCTGACTATCTAACACAAAAATGGACAAACAGGGACAGATCCTTACAGACATTTCAGTTTTCTAGATGTATTTATTTACACTCTTTGTGATTTTTTAAAACCTGCTGGATTAAACCTTATTATAATTCCAAAAACTTGTATGTTTTTTTTTTTTCTTTTAGGCATATATGTTGGTGGGAATTATAAGAATTAAAAGGTGTTTTTGTTGTTTATCAATATGTAGAATAGTTACTGTGAATTTATTTATTATCATGGGTACCAATTTTCACAGATTGAAGAAAAGTTGTATTTTTGTAGCAAGGTATCTGATTTGTGGTATTGCCAAAGTTACCATGGTTACCATACTAATCTATGTATACGATAGAAAATTCTTAAATCGATAAACACTTAAATTGGTACAAATGTAGTTAAGGTAGCTGGCCATGGGGGTCTGAATGTTTGACTATAGATTTTTCTAAAACTTCTTTAGAAGACTATTGGGTCATTGTACTCTCAAATTTCAATAAAATTTGGGGGTCACAGACCTTGTTTTTTGGTTGAAATGCATTGAAATCAACAAAATCACAGTTATTTTATATGGGTTATTAATTATATAGGGGAAACTTGATTTTTCCATATTGAGAAAACATTACACAATAGAATTGGTTAAATCTCAATGAGGGAATTGCTTTTCATAAATACTTCCAAAATTCCAAATAGAAATAGAGGGTCACCAGGTCACAGACCTTATTTTCTGGAAAAATTTAAAAAAAAACGCAAATTGTCTGATCAAATTCTCCCATTGCTTTTTCTGAAATTTTTTTCATACACTTAACGAAATTAATTTTTTTGATAGATTAATTCCTAAATTTCAAGTAAAACATGTTGTTGTTGTCTATTGAATGATACTTAGTAAAATATTTTAAAAACAGAAAAATAATTTTGCAACACAAGGGTTGCTCAGAAAAAAGATACCCGATCTACCTAAATTTGCCTTTACAGGCAAAATCCATGAATAAATGGATGAATGATACAATGGCAACACAAAATGATGAATCCATAACTTATCTTAGTCATGTTAGTCATGTAGTTGTTATTACAAACTTACTATATGTATTATGGAAATCATTCTGACTATTATCGTGATTATTTTGCATTTCAGTGCTTCATTTCATTCTATACAGGAAGGTTTGGATGAGGGGTCCTTTATTTTCTTTATTCTTTAATTTTTTTTAGCCATTTTTCTCTATTCTTTTTTAATTTTTCTCATTTTCCTCTTTTCTTTATACATTGTGCCAATGTTTCTCTATTCTTATCATGTTTATATTTAAGCATCCCATTATTCTTTACCTTTAATATTTTCGGCCCATTTTACTCAAATATTCTTTTTTTTTTGGTACCCATTTTTTTTGCAATTTTTTTCTGTATACCCAATCCTCATACACTGATAATATCCTTAAAAATGATAATTGTCCAATGACATGTATTAATTTAAAAAAAAAAACTTTTGAAAAGTGACATTTCTTGCACATTTGAAAAACATCTTTCCAGAAGATGCTGGGTATACTTTAATTCATATACTCAGAAAAAAAACTAGTTACATTGTATTGTATGTTGTATATACTTCTTATACAATCAGAAGTATTAATCTTATCAGTCATTGTTTGTCAGTGTTTGTCTGGATTATTTGATAATGACATCCTGTTAATAATTCCATCATCTATCTTATAAGTACATATAATCAGGGCAGGGGATTAGTAAAAATGTTTCAACATTTTTGTACATATTAGCCAATTTTTTTTACAAATCAGTGAGTCCCACTTGAATATTAGCAGCAGTTGTAGACAGATAGAGGGCAAATTTATTGTAAGTTTCAATTCCAATTTTGAAAAAATTGTAAAAGTTTACGAGGTTTTTTTACCTAGCATGCTTAGAAGTCATTCTGTTACAAGTGAAAAGTTTTACAAAGGGATTGTAAATACCATTGCAAGTTTGAGCTCTATGGAACATCATATGCATTTAACCTATTTATCATGGATAAAAAAGTCATTCAGTCATAACATTAGAATGCCAAGTACAATGAAGTAAGTTGATAGAATTTTCAACGATGATTTTAAACTCAGTATAATCATTGTTAAAAAGATGAACACAATTAATTCTGAATATTAAAATATATATCTAATTCATAACTTCAAAAAATATTGTTTGTTCTTTTCAGGTAATGTCTAAAAAAGTTTTAATCACTGGAGCATCAGGATTATTAGGCCGAGCTGTATACAAGGAATTTGTGAATGAAGGATCATGGGACGTTTTGGGCCTGGCGTTCAGTAGATGTACAGGAAAATTAAGGAAATGTGACATAACTAAAGATGAGGAAGTGAAAACTGTGATGAAAGAGTTTAATGTAAGTGTTGATGACCTGCAATTTTTGGAATGATTGCTTTAAAAGTTCTAATCATAAGAATAAGAAGATGTGGTATGATTGCCAATGAGACAACTCTCCCAAAGAGACCAAATGACACAGAAATTAACAACTATAGGTCACTGTACGGCCTTCAACAATGAGCAAAGCCCATACCGTTTAGTCAGCTATAAAAGGCCCTAAAATGACAAAATTAATGTAAAATAATTCAAACGAGAAAACTTATGGCCTAATTAAGGTACAAAATAATAATCAGCATATACTTAATAAACTTTTTGAAAATTTGTATCGAATATTAAGGGTCTGCATAGTACATGTGGTAGGGAAATTTGAAATTATTGTATTAGATATGATCATGATTCTGGTATTTTGGAGTAAGCAAAAAAATATAATATATATTTGTCAGAATAGAGAATGGAAACGGGGAATGTGTCAAAGAGATAACAACCCAACTAATGAGTAGAAAACATATGTAAATATATACAGGATATACTGAATATATTGTAATATCTGCGAGTGTTTTAAGATGGGTAGCCCTTGTGTTTTCATACGAATGCAAAACTTTGCAGCCATATAAATGGTATGAAATGGTATGATGTTGTTTTGTCTTGTTGTTGAATCTTTTTTGTGTGCTTAGTGCAGAACTGATGTCTTTTGTCTTGATGCAAGTTGTTTATTTTTGTTTGTGCCAATCTGACAAATCAAGCCAATCACATCTGATTTTATTTAGAGAGTTATAGACTTATAAACATGTTTAACCCCTTCTTTCTGTGCCTGTCCCAAGCTAGGAGCATGTTTGTCAGTATTTGGGGTTGGTTGCCCACAGTCTGCCCTTTTTTTTTTTATTGTTCTTAGCATATATATCAGGCTGTTTTTTTTTCTCTTTTGAATTGTTCCACATGTTGTAGTACCAGAACCCTTATAGTGTACTATATATTCACATTATTTGGTCTCTGGTGGATAGTTGTCTCATTGGCAACCATGTCACATCTCCTTATTTTTGTACTAATGCTGTAATGTACATGTAAATTCATATATTATTACAGCCATCAGTAGTTATACATTCTGCTGCTGAGAGGAAGCCAGATGCTGTTGAACAGAAACCAGAAGCAACACAAGAGCTGAATGTATCAGCAACCAAAGTAGTCTGTCAGAATGCAGGTATTTTTCATGTTCACATAAAACTTACTATTCCTACTGAGTCTGAAAGTAAATTGTGCATGATGCATGATTCTATTATCTTGTCTAAATATATCAAGCATGTCGTTGTTAAAGTTATATTTAAAATTTGAGTTATCTTCCTTTGTCCAATTCATATTATTGCATTCCAATGCTTAGTACAATGTAATGCTTAATTTTTAGTTCCCACTGCAAAATAAATGCTATCTTTACACTTCAGTGCTCATAGGCTTTTTGATATTTAAAAGTCAGTAGGATATATGGAACATAATTAACATTTGTAAAAGAGACATGTATCTTGACAGCATGAGACAACTAAAACATGTGTCATCAGCAATTGCAAATGCATTATAAGAATGTTTGATAAATCCAACGCTTATTTTCTATATAAATTTTGTTGTATGGTTGCCAATGAAACAACTATCCACCCAAACCAAATGACGTAGATGTTAGCAACTATGGGTCACGGTATGGCCTTCAGCAATGAGCAAAATTCATGCTACATAGCAACCTATAAAAGGTCCCAACACAACAAAACGTGCGACAATTCTAATAAGAAAACAAACGACCTGATTTATATACATAAACAAAAAAATACACATGTGATATACACTTACAAATGAATACCAGTGTATTACAGGCTCTTGACTTGGGACAGATACATACAGGATGTAAGCAGTATATTTATAATATATACTCAAATATAAATATAAAAAATGATGTGTAAGTGTATTACCATACTAACATGTATCATGCTTATTTAGAAAAATAAAATTTAAATTACGCAAGTAACAAAAAGTAGTGCATGGCTTATAAAGCAATCTGTTATACCATCAAAGGGAAATAAATCATTCAATGCCTAAATTTCTTTCTAAACAGATTGATTTCATATGTATCTTTACTGAGGATTTAAATATAGAATTATACAATTCATACATTGTCTTCAAATATAAATTGTATGTGTACAAGGCTTAGAAACAGGTAGAAATGGAGGCTTTGCTGAGCATTTCTATCCTGTTTTGAGCAGAAATAAAATTTATATTTCATGACAATTTATAGTTATTATACCCCCCCCCCCCCCCCTTATACACAGTGATCATTACTGCATAACACAGATCCTGTTTGAATTTTGATAGCATCACTTTTATCGTTCTAGAGTTATCTACCTTTACAAATGGAAAAATTGCTGAAATATTTGTTTCTGTTCTCTAACTTAAGAGTGCCTCAAACTGAATGTTATGAAATGTATACACAATGCTTATTACCACTAAACTCAGATAAAGTAACAAATTTTGGTAGCGTCACTTTAACACTTCAGTTGTGTCCCTTTATAACGTTATATGCAAATGGGGGCATCATCTGTGTCCCATGGACACATTCCTCATTTATTCTTTATATACTGCAACTCCTACAACTGTTCCAAATCAAATATTTAGGATAAAAACCATCATTTTTTTAATTTGGAGCAAACGATGTAAAAATTCTGCAAACCTGTAGTTTTAATGACGTCTTAAATAAAACACAACTGAAAGGCATTGTCAATGTCATAAACAAGGCGATATAAGGTCAGTGACCTTATATCACAAATGATTAAACGGTCCATGCAATTTGACTGCACAAATAGCACAGCTACAGTATTTACCATTTTATCAGGTTTTCAGTTGGTAATTATTAAAAATCATTAAGTTAAATTTCTAGCGCTAGCTGATTTGGTATGGTATTTGTTGATAACACATTTATTTACTTTTTTTAGCTGCTGTTGGTGCTAGGGTATTATATATCAGTACAGATTACGTGTTTGAAGGATCATCACCTCCATATGCCGAGGATGCTACCCCAAATCCACTTAACAAATATGGACAAAGTAAATTTGAAGGTGAAAAGGTCACAATGGAGGTTAGTCAAGGTAGACATCTAATTTTTCAATATTAATGTTAATATCTTATTTGAAGCTTTCATAAAATTGTGAAAGATAGCTGTTTCTTACATGGAATTGGGTTCCATCTTAATTTAAGTAGATATGAATATGATTTAAAAAAAAAAAGAACATAGTATCAACAAAAATTGGTATAGATTGATAATTGCAAAAATAGCTTAGAAATGTAGTTTAAAAAGACTGTCAATTCATTTGTTTAAATTTGATTAGACTGAAGTAAAGAACCAGATGTTGAAAATTGGTTTAATATTCATAAAAGAAAATCAACCAGTTGACCCTCAAAGATGGCATCCAACATGTCCAAGGAAAATAAGTCCAACCACTATTTCATCATTGAAAACTATCTATAGGATTATTGCAGTAACAAATGTAAAATATTATTCTACCATACATATGTTAGTGCAATGATCCCTTTGAAAGTTTTTCATTGATGTAATAGAAGTTGGAGTTATTTCCCTTGGATCAATCTTGGAAGGCCAACTGGTTGATTTTCTTAATCACTTACCAATCATAGGATTTCGCTCCTCTGTTTCAAAATAACAAGGTGTTTAAAAGACTGTTAAAGATTGATAGAATATGAATAAGGGAACTTAAAAATTAGAAAAAAATGATAGGTCTGTGTTCTAGTTTTTGAGATATAATCAATAGAAAATTTGGCGGAAAATAGTTCTCTCTAGATTTTTCATACATTTAACATTGACACCTTTTTCCTTTCAAAAACTATGAAAAAAAAACAAGTATTTTATAAGATTTTCAAAAATGACTTAAAACTATATACAATAAAATTCTGAAAAGAAAAGTATGGGTCAGTGGGCAAAATTTTTATTGGCACTACATGGATAAAACTAGAGAATTCAGAATATCTGACAAAAAGTCAAAAACAAGAGTAGCGAACATCTTTAAACATGTGGTACAGCCAAGTTGGACCAATAGAAGATCCTTAATAGATAGTAGTATTGAATAAGATGAGGCTTAAACAAATAAAAATCATTCAGGAAAAAACTTTTTTTCTGAAATCTAGTAGTCAGTATTTATTTGAAGTTGATTTTGATTTTATAGAAGATTGGGCAAAGGGAAGTAACTCTGACTTGTGTATCGATGGGAAAGAATCAACTGTAAATTTAGAAATTATTGTGAGGTTTTTGTTAATGCGAATAATGTGACTTACAAATGTATCGCAATAATAAAAAGTTGCATTCTGATATCTGATACATATATTTGTATGCAGATTTTTTAACATTGCAATAATTAATCTCGCATTTTTGTCCATTTTTAATAAATCGTAGTAATAAATGCATGCAATAATTTCAGAATTTACAGTATATCATTGTGTTTTGTTTGTAGATAATTCAATATTAAGAGTGCCAATTCTGTATGGAGACATTGAGTACTTGGATGAGAGTGCTGTATCTACACTATTTCAGAAGGTCACAGACTCATCTAAACCGTGTCCTATGTCAGATTATGAACGACGTTTTCCAACTCATTGTGATGACATAGCATATGTGATAAGACAGTTAGCAGAGAGAAGGATCACAGTAAGTTCTTGAAATTTTACATTGCGTTTAAAAATACCATTAAATGTTTCTTATGTAATAATACATATGCAGCTTTTTTACCAAAAAATATTTAAATTAAATTGACCAAGTTGTCCGGAAATCATGGAAGTGTTCAGTATTTTCTTGTAAAAAAGAGGCTAAAGATACCAAAGGGACATTCATAAGTCGAAAACTAACTAACAATGCCATGGCTAAAAAAGAAAAAAAGACCACCAAAAAAACAAACACAAAACACAACATAGAAAACTAAAGACTGAGCAACACGAACCCCACCAAAAGCTAGGGGTGTTCTCAGGTACTCCAGAACAGATCCTGCTCCACATTTGGCACCTGTTATGTTACACGTGTAAATACAAACCAGCTGTTGATTGTAAGATTCTTCATGAAAACAGTTCCTGCAATAGTTAATCAATTATATACAAAAGCAACTCTGTCCATCTTACTTTCAAATTAAATTTGCAATGTAAATTTTAAATACAGTGTACCTGGCTGCAAATTTCACAGGACTTTAAATTATGGTTTGAGTATATCTTTTGATGAAGTCAAGCATATTCACTTTATTGTCGCCTCTGATGTTTTATAAATTCTAAGTAATTTATTAAATAAAGGTATAAGACTAATTAGGGCATCAAAACAAGTATTTTTGTGTTTGTTTAATCATTTGATTTGTATACCGACTAATACTTGAATGTGATTTGTCGGTTAGAATGAGTTCCTTGGTTTAGACTTTGATAGAGCATGTTGCTGGATCTACTCCTGTAACCAATGTAGAAGCTATGATGATGTCACTCTGTTATATACAGTATATGTATGATAATAAATTTGAAATTGGCAGAAAATATAAAAAAAATGTTTAGTTGAGAATTTTAAAGATAAAACACACTTTTTGTAGAGGTTTATTCAGTTTGCAAAATAGTTTGTGAGTTAATGGGCCAAGGTAACACATCAACAACCTCTAGAAAAAATGTGTTTAATCCTACAGAAGTTTTTGATTGCAAAGTGATGGTTTTAATGCAGTACAGACTGCTTTTATTGAAGAATTATAGTGCTTTTATGCTCTGGAAAAGATAGATAGTTTATCACAGTCGCTTTAGGATTTTATTGTATTCTAGCAATAATCTTAAGGATTTAAAAAAAAGTTTTTATTACAATGTAATAAAAGAAAGGGCCATTCATATATATTTTTTTAATCGTGAAGATATTTGCTAGAATAAATGAAAGAGGGAAAATAAGTTGAAATACTCAAGAATTTGAGAAATTTTACTTTAAATGAATTTAAAAAAGGGGAGGGGAGGGGTTCATTCCCCAAACACCTGTGAACAAAATCATTGTTGTTTCAGTTGCAATGGTATAGCTTTATTAGTTTCCTAACAAAATGTTTAACAAATATTTGATATCCTCCAAATAGTTTTTTTTTTTACTGAATTCAGTGGTTTTACTGAAATTTTTACTTGAAATTGAAGTGAGATATCAAAGTTTGATCAGTTAATCATGTTAAAAGTCATATTCCATAGCTAAATGAGTTGGACATTTTTTATCTGTGTCATTGCAGTGTTTTTTCCAGGGGTTATAGTGTCATGGTTCCATATAGGTGTTATATCTTTAACCATGGTGATATCTAAAGGTTGCAATTCTGTAGATATAGACAATGCAATTTCCCATAGAAACTCCTTTTGCAGCTAAAACTGTGCCACTTTTACTGTGAAGTTTCGTGAAAAATTATATCCCAGAACGGAAAGTTGATATGCACTACTTTTTTATTCAAAGGTCAAAATATAGGGCTGTGCGGCATATTTTCAACATTTATATGCCTTGAACTTCTATATAAGAGTTTAAACTTATACTAAAATTCTATATTACCCCTACCTCCATTTTTGGACCTCATAAGAATTGAATTTTAGGTGCTACCATGTTTTTTTATACTGGTAACAATCCCAAGTTATGGCTCTATGAGATGAAACACAGAGGTCATATCTGGGAACCAGTATGTTAAAAAATCAACATATCTATAAATATTATATATCTCCTCAAAAGTGGCGTGGCTTGTGAAACAGCTGTATTTACAAAGTGCAACCTAAAGAGATTTGATAGTAGAATGTAGTATGCATGTGATGCTATAAATTAAGGGAGCCATCATTGTGTTATTTGAAAATACTTGTGAAAAAAGTGAAAGTTTTTGTTTGAAAACAATATCTAATATTATTACACATTGAATTATAAGTGCCACTATCAGAGTTTAGGGGGAAAATATGAAGATAGCAAAGGGGAAGTCAAAATCATAAGTGGTTATGGATGATTGGAACCTATCAAGCTATTACAGTTAACGGTGCCAAGCTGCAGCTTTTAAAATTGTCAGCTGGGGGTGGTAAACTGCTGCCTTTTTATGTGGCAGTGTCACTATCACAGCTGTAGGTGCCAAGCTGCAGCTTTTCAAAGAGTTTGTGTCGCTATCATAACCTGAGATGGAAAGCTGCATCTTTTCAAAGTGTCAGTATCACTATCACAGCTGGAGGTGGCAAGCTGCAGCTTTTCAAAGTGTCAGTGTCACTATCACAGTTGGATCATCTGAGGTGGTAAGCTGCAGCTTTTCAAAATATCAGAGTCACTATCACAGCTGGAGGGGGCAAGCTGGAACTTTTCAAAGTGTCAGCGTCACTATAATAGTTGGAGCTTATACGGTGGCAAGCTGCAGCTTTTAAAAGTATCAATTCCACTAGCACAGCTGGAGGTGACAAGCTGCAGCTTTTTAAAGTGTCTGTGTCACTATCACAGCTGAAGGTGACAAGCTGCAGCTTTTTAAAGTATCAATGTCACTATCCCAGTTGAAGGTGGGAAGCTGTAGCTTTTTAAAGTGTCAGTGTCAATTTCACAGCTGGAGGTGACACGCTGCAGCTTTTCAAAGTATCAGTGTCACTTTCACAGTTGGAGGTGGGAAGCTATAGCTTTTCAAAGTGTCAGTGTCACTTTCAAAGCTGGAGGTTGGAAGCTGTAGCTTTTCAAAATATCATTGCCGCTATCACATTTGGAGGTGAGAAGCTGTAGCTTTTCAAAGTATCAGTACCACTATCACAGTTAGAGGTGATAAGCTGCAGCTTTTTGAAGTGTCAGTATCACGATCACAGATTGAGGTGGAAGGATGTACACCATCAAAATTTTAATGCAACAATCATGATTGGAGGGGGTTACCTTATCAAACTGTTACTCCAGATTCACGGCTGGAGGTGGAGGGTTTTTCTCTAAGTTTTGAGGACTGCTGAAATCTATTAAACTATTAGTACCAGCATCACAAATTTAGTCAGATGACTATTTCATGTCACAATATTAATTTCACATAAAAAGATGGAGATTAAGGACTGTATACTATCAAACTGTTTGTATCACTATGCCTGTTGGAGACAAAGAGCGGTACTCCCTCAGTGCCACAATCAAAGACGGATACTGAGGACTGCACTATATATAAGTATCATAGTTGGAGGTAGAGGGCTGTACTTTAAGAGCCGCAAATATTCATTCGAATTGAGGGCCGTATCTACCATATCAAACTATTAGTACCAGTATCATATTGAAGGTTGAGGGCTGTATTATTTTAATTTGTTAGTACACCAATCACAATTGGAGGTTGGGGGCTGTACATCTTATCAAAATATAAGTACCTATACGACAATTGAGCCTCCTCATGGAGTTTTTGAGTATGTGATTACTCGGCCGTTTTTATAGTGATTATTTGATTACCAGACCAAATATTTCATGATTATTTGATTATTTGATAATCCAGGACTGTATTTTTTATTATTTGATTATCTTAAAAAAGTAATTAATGATTATGTGATTATATTGGCAAAAAATTTGTGATTATGTGATTACTTGGACACCCCAATGAGGGGCCTAACAAATGGAGATTGAACACTGTATTCTGTCACACTACTATAGTGCACACATCACAGTTGGTATCAAACTATCAGTGCCAAAATCAAAGTTTGAAATGAGGACTGTACTCTATTCGAGCCTCTTTGAATCTGTCAAAATACAGTCATGGTTTTGGAAACATCAACGGACTGAATAGCACACTGGTAAAGGGTGCACTTTCTCAGGAGCAGGAATTCATAGGACTTATGAAGCAAAAAACGTTTATTTTAGAATCAGAAGCGTGAACTCAAAATACAAGATGTAGACTTTTAAAACTGTATGAAGTTGGTAGATGACTTGTTGAGTGAAAAACATCAGGTAATATTTGAATTTAAAGTTAATTTAAATACATTATACTTGTAAAGAATGTATTAATTTTGCATAATGAATGAATTACTTTAAAAAAGAGCTAATACTTTATTGTTAAATGTTAAATATAAATATGAAATATATCAAAAATATTGTATATTATGGGGTGCATTGCATTTGCGCCAATTTTTACAAAATTCAATCACACATTTGCGCTGCAAGGTTACATTTCATTTGCGCCAAAAAATAAAAACTACATTTGCGCCATTGTACAAGTTACATATATTACGTTATATATGTAACGGAAAAGTTAAAATATGCATTGCTATATCGTGAATAAGATTTTTTTCAGAGTATTCCCCCTGGGTAACAAAGTGAGTTCATACTCATTTCTAATATAAAACAGAGAGTCACTTAGGTTTAAATTTATATAGTGTTCACATGTTTGAGGTGTCAAGATGGACATTGTTAATTCTGAGACAAACAGACCATTTTCTCAGTTGAATTGTTCCATATTTTTCATTTTGCTTACAATTTTTGTGTCAGAACAAACTTTTGGTTTTACTCCTGTATAGTGCTTTCTTTTAGGATTTATGATCACATTTATTTATAACAGAACTGTGTTTTAACATTAATAATATGAACAATCTCTTTTCAATAACGTATCAGTGTATAGAGCTTTCATTATGATGACTGGTTTCAGATTAATAGTTTTATTATGCTATCAAAAACTGTGTTTTATAGTTTTATTATGCTATCAAAAA